TTTCATGGACAAGGCGAACTGTCAACATACAAATCGACGTCATCAGTAGAACTGCAGATCAACGAGTCTAAGCTAACGCCATGCATTAAAAGTATTCGGAAATATGTTCCACGTGAACCTCACAGACTCGCGATATCAGCAATCAATAAAATGAACGATACTGTTATTGAGAATTTTTTCGATAAAACAAGAGACGAACAAATTGGAATTTACGTCAAAGCTCTTGAACTTGTTGGATACACCCAACGTTTACCAACTGTTATAAATATTGGCGCCAAAAAAGCAGGAACGACAGCGTTAGGTCTCTTACTCCGGGCGCATCCACAGGTTGCATCTTCACAAAAAGGCGAAGTTCATTACTTTGATTGGAACTACGAAAAAGGAATTGAGTTCTATCGTTCAAGATTTCAGTTTTCGACAGAATCACAGGAAGTATTTGAGAAAACACCGCGATATTTCATCACAGACGATGTGCCACGTCGTATCAGAGAAGACGTCTCACCGGACGTGAAAATTATTCTGAATGTGAGGGACCCTGTTGAGCGAGCGGTGTCGGACTATCATCATGAAATGTGGCTGCTTGCATCAAAGGGAAAATCGAAGGGACCACCAATTAAGGCGACCTTTCAGGACACTGTACTGAAGAAAAATGGCGACGTGAACGACGAATCTGAACTCATCCATATTGGTAAATATGCCATGCATCTAAAAAGATGGTTGAAATACTTCCCGATGAATCAAATCCTTGTTATTGATGGAATCGAGATTTCTAAAGACCCACTAAAACAAATGAGAATAATTGAAAAGTTCCTGGACATTAAACCATATTTCAAAAAAGAACCTTTCATTTATATTAAAGACAAGTCACGTTTACTGTTTGGCAAAATCTAAAAAACGTTGCAACTTTAGCACTGGTCGCGCTATACCCAAACCTGTCCCGAGTGACCATCTACGTAAAAAACTGTATGACTTCTATCGTCCGTATAACCAGCAATTAGTGAAAATGTTGAACCAGACTTTTTCTTGGAGTGACCTTTAAATAAACTGCCAATATGCCACAGCTTGGATGTATACTATAATTATGTGATGTGGTCTTTATTCGTCCGCACTATTACTGAAATGTTTACTCTATCATTGTATGTGACAAGCCATATGGGTCTTAAAGTAAAAAAAAATAATATACTATGTAGCAGATGCGTTAAATATTTATGTTCAAACAATATCATATTATGTGCAGCCGTAATATTATTATTTATATTATGCATATTGTGTACATTCGCCATTTTATTTTGATAAAAACAAACTATTATATTACAAACACCCGCTATGTCATTACTATAAATCACCATCGTATCATGTGCATTGGCTGTGTTATTATGATTAAACACCATTTATATTATACTCGCTATGTCATTTGGAATATGTAATAATAGCAACGTTAGAATATTTTTTTCTTATCAAATGCCACGAGCTTCCAGAATGCTTCAAGTTCACACATTGTAATGGCCCCCTAAGGTCGCGATTTTTATAAACCATTTCAATAGCACCCACAGGTTTGTTTGAGTGTCAGTCTTCCAATATTGTTTGCAAACTATCAAGCAAAGGTTTTCAATAACTCGGTCCACATAGTACACCGAATGTAATGGTTTTAAGAACAAAATGCACAACATACGAATCATTAGTACCTGGTAAGAGGGTGGACAAGGGGGTCGCTTGTACAGGTAACAGAAAATAAAAAAAGGCATTTTATGTTTTTACAGCTTAGATTGGCCCAGCTGTGGTGATTTTTTTTCAGTTGAATTATAATAATAAAACACTTTGAAAAAATAGTTTTGCGAAATTTGGGGTGAACGCGAATGGGTGATTTTGCGTTAACACTTCCATTTCGCGATATTTTTAATTAATTTAAACTTTAAAAAGAAATAAATCACTCACACTGTGCCAGTCTAATTACACCTCAATGCGGGGGGGGGGGGGTACGCGTTTGTTTTGTTTTTGTTTGTTTTTTAAGACGCTATATTACTCATAGTTTTGTTATTTATTTATTTATTTATTTATTTATTTATTTATTTATTTATTTATTTATTTTATATAAAAACATGTTCCCAAGCTAATGTTGCCTTATATTGCTGTATAACTTTATAACACATCCCATTCTATGGTTGTGAAACATCATTGTTGTAATGTAATGTCATTAATACTACCTTATACTAAAATATATTTGGATAATTGGAGTACTAACAAATTTTCACTTATGATCCGGTTAGACTTAAAATACATCACGAATATTCACGTTTTTGGTATAAAATTTAACAATGCCACTAGCCCAAGATGGACTTCCTGTTAAACACGTTGTTGAATGTTCGCGTCACTGTACGTAAAAAACACACTCTCGAACTTGACAATTTTAAAGTTCAGACCATTAAGCAAATAGATGGAAACGCCACTTGCATAAATCATGAAGATTGATGATTTGATTGGTGACCGGGATAGCTGCATTTAGTATTCTTTTCTATGCAATATAAAATCATATCGATGCTGTAGGCGGCGAAGGGTGACAAATTGTTTTGGTTCAACGGCTCTCAAGGCAAGGGCAACTGACATTTCCTGACTTTTTTTTTACTATTCTGACGTGTTCTGGGCTATATATAACAGTCAGACACTGACAAGTAAGTAAGTACTAGTAAACAGTCCGGGACATAGTCAATACAAGCCAGTAGGCTAAAAAAACAAGCAACATGTTTTGGCTGTTTCCATGGTCGGACATGAACTTGAAGCTAACGTCAGTTTATAACTAAATGGGCCCTGTATTCGAAGTTCGCAAAAACCATTCAGTCTTTAGAAGTCACTTAGTTTATTACTAGGGCGTATTCTGCTGTTACATTTCCAACCATTTTGCAATAGTATTTTCTAGAATGAAGGCAGCATTTACAGTTCATTCAAAGTTCAAAGTTGCGTTGGGATTACGTTGATACAGTGTAACAACGTCTGCGTTACCAGTGCGCAACAGCCAACAGAAAAAGCATGATCATCTGAACACTGCTATTACAAAACTGGTAGGAGGTAATTCATTTGGGGCGAAAGTATTCAAAAATCAGTTTTTGGCTGTTGCAATGGCAGTGGTGCGCCAGGATTTTTTTCAATTAGTGACGGTACGACCTACCTGTGAAGTATGAACAAAATCAGCCGAGCCAAAAAAATCTCAGAGGAGTTAAAAGCCGTTGCCGGTGAAAGTTACACCAACTTTGGGGTCGAATTTCTCGGTAATTAAAAAAGATATCAAAAATTCAAATAGTAACTTTGTGCCCACACTCAAGCTGAGTAGAATGAGCTATGTCTGAGGTGTTGTATCCCAAATTTGTAGGAAAAGATGCATTTGGCGCGGAGCTATCAAAAAAACAAAAACAGTTTGTTTGGCTGTTGCTATACTTGTAACATTGTCTTTCGCTCTATTAAAGGGGTAAGTTATTTTTTAAACGTAGGAGATAATTCATTTGTGGCGAAATTATTCAAAAATCAGTTTTTGGCTGTTGCAATGGCAGTGGTGGGCCAGGATTTTTTCAAATAGTGACGGTACAACCTACCTGTGAAGTATGAACAAAATCAGCCGAGCCAAAGAAAATCCAGAGAAGTTAAAAGCCGTTGCCGGTGAAAGTTACCCCAACTTGTGGGGTCAAATTTCTCGGTAATTGAAAAAAGATATCAAAAATTCAAATAGTAACTTTGTGCCCACACTCAAGCTGAGTAGAATGAGCTATGTCTGAGGTGTTGTATCCCAAATTTGTAGG